GAACAAAAAATAAATAAATAATAGTGGTCGATACGTCAGTCGGCCAATCAACCATTGATGAATAGAATGACCAAAAATTCAAACGGTCATTGCTAGGGACAGTAATTACAACGAACACAAAATTACGTACTGTACTTAAAGAGGCTATTCAATTACAGCGTCTGAAACACCAATTACATTAACACCACCCCAACCAATCAGGTTATACCCCTACGGTAATTTATTTTACCAAGCCCCCCCCCCCCCCCCCCCTCTCTCCGTTGTCCACTTAACTTTCGACGTTCCTTGCCACAATTTCGGCGCTCTTTTTGAAATCGAAATCGTCAAGGGTTTCCGTGTTCCCGCCAGCAGGACCAGACGATTTCGGTTCACGAAACGCAGAAATTGCGACCAGGTACGTCGAAGTTAATTGCCCAATGAACTTCGCCGTTCCTTGCCACAATCTCGGCGCTCTTTGAGATCGAAATCGTTCCAGGTACGTCGAAGTTAATTGCCATGTTCCCGGCAGTAGGACCTGACGACTTCGGTTCAAAAACTCGCTGAGATTGCGGCCAGGTACGTCGAAGTTAAATGCCCAAAGGAGTACTTACACCAGCCCAATCATGCTCATATCTACACAAACATGAGATTAGGTTCTTAAGAAAAAAAGAACTGAAAACAGCAATGATCGCCAGATCCATTTGACAGCGACCAGGTTGGAGTAATAGATGATACACTGTTTGATAGATCGTGTGGGACAGGGCCAAACTATGAAAATCCGTTACTCAACTCGACAAACGGGCTCACTCCGTGGTTTCCGTACTTACGTTAACTTACTCCCGATAACTACTCGTCACTTTAAAAGACAGATCTAGCTAATGATCCATAGCAAGGGATTAAAAGAAAAAAAATGCCCGACGGTCAATCAATCAATCAATCAATCAATTATCACTCGTTGAGCTACTCGATCTGTATTTTCGCGGAATCAATCAATCAATCAATAAACCAATCACAGCAACAACCAACTGCATTGAAAGTGAAGCCAACACTCCAAGTCTGCTTCCCAACCACGAAGGCAAAACTCCCTCTCTCTACCTCACCTTCCTCTCTACCTCACCTTCCTCTCTCACTCACCTTCCTCTTCAACTCACCTTCCTCTTTAACTTACCTTTCTCTCTAACATACCTGCCCCCCCCCCCCAAGAGGGAAACAGCCCCCCGAGATCCGAAAAAGCTCTCGATCCATTGATAAGCGCTCATCCGATACTTCTTTCGACATATCCCTGAGCTCTCGGTGCAAACAACACGACATAAGTGAAGCATTACAGACATAATCGAAATCGCAGGCAGGATAAAAAAGAGGGGGAGACAGACCGGAGAGAAAGAGGAAGTCGTAGAGGGAGGAGAAGAGCAGTACCATGTCATGACTCTTGATTACAGCTACAGATCGTACCTGCAGGACAGGAGGATGAGGAAGAAGAAATGCGGCATCGAGAAACGGATGGTGAGAGTGACGAGTGATTACAGACACAGAACGGCGAGCAGGAGGGCGAGTCGAGCATCACCTCCTTTCCCCTCCCTCTCCCTTTCTCCCCTACCACATTCGTCCCACAACGCTGTTCACCTCCCTCTCCCTCCCTCCCATCTCTTCCTTCTTCTGGTCCAATCTCTCGCAATACTCGCGTTCCTCTCCCTCTCCCTCACTACCTCCACCGCCAATATCTACACCTCTCAGACAATTACTCTCCGCATGTAAAGAATACAAAGGCTCAGAGAGGGGACGTACGCACTCGTGTCCACGCAAGCATAGATGCCACTTGGCATTAACCATCCATTGACACGCACCTTTCTGGTCAAAGCCCGTCGCAGGAGGCGCTTCCTCGAGATTTCCCCCGCATGTGTTTCCCATTTTGCCCTGCGATCTTGATCGTCTCGCTGTTGCCGCACAACCACAGGGCGCACCAGAACGCAGACCTCTCTCTCTCTCTCTCTCTCTCTCTCTCTCTCTCTCTCTCTCTCTCTCTCTCTC